TCAACAGAAGGTACAGTGGCATGAACAATAACATTAACAACAAAATTTCTTGATGTTCACAGGCAGAAAGTTACAGTAAAATTAACAGCTCCTCAAGCCAGTAAGCTACTCCCTATTTTGTTGAGGCTTAACTTCAAAAATTGCAGTCAACAAGAACTATCGTTAAACTACAGATCTACTTTCACAATCTCACAATGTTTGTGCTCATGCTACACATACAGAGCAATACCTCTGCAGGTCACTGCAGGTGACAGAGCACAGGAACAGGTTGCCCAGAGGTTGTGGAGTCTACCCCACTGGAGACATTCAAGAACCATCAGACACAATCCTGTGCCATGTGCTCCAAGATAACCCTGCTTGAGCAAGGAGGATGGAGCAGATGACCCACTGTGGTCCCTTCCAACCTTACCCACAATGTCATTCATTTTGTGAATACTAACGTGCCTTCAAAAAGGATCGAAAGTTAATCCATCCTTTTGGCAGTACTTTTAAATGTTGGATTTTTACATGTTGTTGCTGCCCTAAAATAAACCTTCACTAGGACTCTCCAGTCTTATCCAGAAATGGAAAGGGTAATAAGGAAAACAAATGACAAAGGAAGATTAAGTTTTGTCCACTTCTGGTATGAATTTTCAAGGTTTATTCCATATGAATTTGTGGGAAAAACTTCCAAAATAGACTATAGGTAAAGTATCATCAAAATTAATTACTATGTAGAATTCTGGTGGCAGTTTAGTAAGATATCTCATATCTTTATTGGAAAAAGGTTTAGAAGAATATTGTTATTTAGACTACATGAAAGTTACTGTCCTCCGTTACCAAGACCCAACCTTTAAAATATGGAAAATGTGGGAGCCCACAGTTAAACTCCAACATGAAACACAAATGGTGAAACTAGAGAAACAGAACCTGTCCAACCTTAACTATGTGATGCACTTATCCTTCCCCTTTCTTGACTGCTTCCTGGGTTGTTTTGGTTCTTTTTTTTTTTTTTGCTTTTTGGGGTTTTTTTGTTATTGCTTGGTTTTTGGGTTTTTTTTGTTTTTTTTTTTTTTTTTTTTGGGGGGGGGGTTTTGGGTTTTTTTTTGGTTTTTTGCTTTTTGGGGTTTTTTTGTTATTGCTTGGTTTTTGGTTTTTTTATTTTTTTTTTTTTTTTTTTTTATTACTGTCTTTTACCTCCCTTTTAATTCTAGCCAATCTTCAGGAATCAGTAGTATTCAAACAGCTGACCAATTTTGGAAGCACATATAATTTTCTCTGAAGAGCAAAAATTAACTAAAGAATTTAAACATATAAATGCAACCCACTATCACTGGGAACTTAAGCTTTTACTACCTGAAAAGCAGCTTCAACAGCTATAGCTAGAGGCTTGCTTGTACTAAGATTTCAGACATGCAACAGAATTTTAAAAACTAGCTTACCTCTTACTTTTCATTTATCTGATTTATAAAACTTGGAGCAATTCATCAAAAATTATTTGTTATATAATATAATCTGGGTGTGTACTTACCTACTGAAGTTGAACAAATTAATTCACATTAGGCTGTCAATTTTAGAGGTCAGCACCAATACACTTACACCAATATCAACCCAATATAGCAGACTGGAAGCTCCAGCTAATCCAACTCTATCCCTGAATACATTTATTTGGAAGTATTTGCCCTTCATAAATTTTCAGGATCTGTTCTATTGCCAACATGCTTTCCTGTGTTTTCTACATGCTTAGGAAACAAAATAGGAGTCTTTCTGTAGAGCCTAACCTAGTGCTGGGAGGCTGAGCAAACCATTGATGGAGGAAGCGTTCTTGGTTTTATTTAACTGCTGCAGTCACATTATTACAGGGTAGTAAGGTTGTCTACACTTGGAGTTTTTGAAACCAGAAATTACTTTAGGGGTGTTTAGGTGTTTTTCTATACTCTACCATGTTCTCCCTGAAATCATTCCCCCAGGAAAGTGACCTTCTCAGTAAGAAACTTGAACTTACAGGTATCAAATGACCTGAAAAGATCTTTCAGCAGTTTGGTCAGGATAACATTAATAACCCAGCCCACAGGAGAATATTATGTATCAAAGCCCATGTAAATTTGATGAATGTGGATTGCAAAGAAACTGACAAACCCCCAACATTGTTCACCAAACAGCAAATTAATGAATTCCAACTGATTATGTCTGCAGAACCATGAACTCTCAGGTGGGGAGACTCTTCAGGTTCTTCAAAAAGTTGCAATTCTGTATTTAGCATCACAGAAATGCTGTCAGCATCTTCTCAGCCTAGAATTGAAGCTACTCAAACATGTAAGAAATTTGTTCTACTACCCTCTTTTATCATATCAAGTAAGCTATCACAGCAGCTACATTACCATTAAAGTACCATTAAAATATATGAAGGAATCTATATGCCAATACATATACATGGTATATGATAACACACATAAAGAACTGAAAAACAACTACACACATTGCTTTGAAACATTTTAATGAACTTGAACTTGAATTTGACGCATATCTCACAGCTGTGGAAAAATGGATTTTGATTTAATGTAATCAGCATTTTTATTTGAAATTCAAGTCACCTTCTAAATACATAGTCATAGTCACCTCAGAACCCTATGCATTTAGGATTTACATGCCCTTAGTTGCTCTAAACTGATGAAGACTAATGGAATGCAAGTCAGCCAGTACAAGCTGTATGTTAAGGCTGCTAAATAAGTAATGTCTTGTACAAGAATTTCCTTCATAAAACTGCACATAGAATACACCCATTTCTAAAACCAAGGCTATGTTGTACAAAAAACTATAGACCACTAATTAAGAAATCTACATGATACTGAAAGATTAAGCTTTAAATAAAGAAAAATCTTCAAGATCCTTCATATCTTTCACCCTCTCAGCACAGATCAGGAGAACATTCTGTTTTGGATGTGAATGGTATTTTTTTTGTTTTAAACATTAATTGCCCTATGTATGTAAGCAATGTAGGCTTGGTAATCTTCAAAAAATACCAGAAAGTGTCACAATCCATAGCATACTTTTTAGTAGGAATAATTGGAATATTTGCTCTAATGGAAAGTTACCACAGGAAAAAAAGAGAATTTTTGCTCTATCCCCACCTTATGGCTAGAAAAAGAATTTTTCTATTACAGCATACATATTTCTGGATTTATTTTTCCTTTATTGTATGATTATAATCAGAAAATACTAACTATGTTTATTATGAAACTAGATTCTTTTTCAGCACTCACTTCTCCACATAAAACCACAATGAAACTCCAAGGCATGAATGTCCTTTCTAGCACCTGTGTTGATTTCCTGATTCAAAATAACAGATACAATTTACATTCAAATAGAACAGTGATTATCGGGTCCATCACAGTATACAAGTTCATTTATTCATGTTGACACCATTAGGAGTTAGGTACACAGATGTAACATTCACTGATATATCATTCTTAATATTCACACTTTTTACAAGTTTTAAACATAATAATTGGGTGATTTATACCACTCAGAAAATATTAAACTTACATGCTCTACAAAATCAAAGCACAGTAGGCACGAATGTGTGCTGTGAGTGTGAGCTGGAACAGGACACACTCCCCACCAGGAGACACTCAGGTTGGCAAGCAGCAGATGCACTCTCACCAGTCACTCCATAAGTGAACCAAAAATAGCACCAGCACCACTATCCTCCACCACAGTCATCTGCTGATCAATAAACAATTTCCTTCTTCTATTGCAGCTTAATAATTATGACACCACCCTGGCCCAGGTCTAACACTAGCCACATCAAAAGCTGAAAACCAAGTTAAGGGCTACAAGAAGCACTTTTACCAAATTCTATTTCTTCATTACTTTACCTCTTTTCATTGATAGTCAGAGTGAAAGGGCAGGGCAGGATGTAAAACAGATCATGGGGAAAGCTGCAAAGCAGAAAGGATAGAAAAAATGGATGTCTGAGTGTGCTTCTAATTTTTTATGACATCCATCCTGCTTTCTGAGGAAATGAGGAGTTTTAATTGTATTGACAGAGCACCTCTCTTTCCAAAAAGCTCTTGAATCTTATGCTTTAAACCAGAGGAAATTCAATATTGAGTCAGTTGTTTCAGAACTATAAATTTCGCAAGGTCTCATGAAAACAGCTGAGCATCACCATGACTCTTCTCTCAAAAATCCTTGCCTTTTTCCTCCTAATGGCAAAGAATCAACACAGGAATTCAAATAACACAACTCCATTAGGTCTTCTACTATAGATCTAGTTTAAAAAATTTCATAGAACTACCTGCTTTGATACTTTGTGAGACATGACCCAGGAACAAACTATCACTATAGCCTCCAAGTTTATATTAATTGTGAGTGTTCATGGGTATTTAGACAACAACACTGTAAGTTTTAATTTCAAAAATCCAGCAAGGAATACTGCTTAGAAACCCTAGGCATGTACATGAAGGAGAAAAGAAAAGCTGCCAAATAGGAATACAATTAACCTTATGGTGAACGTTAAAGAAGATAGTAGAAAAACACAATAGCATTTTACATTTCTAAAAGCTTAAGCCCATTTCATTGGCCCCATTAATTTTCAGTAAGTATTTATTTGAAGTTTAGGAGAGAAACCTGAATACTGCCAAGCTACCCAGGTCTTAATAACACCTGCCTGCTCCAGCTATTAAAAAACATTCACAATGTACTTTCAAAGTCCCTCTCCCATTAAAAAGGGGCAGCTTCTTAACCATGAATACATGCCAAACCCACTTACAAAATATTTTAAAAGTACACCAGTGGCTGGTTTTAACCATTTTTTGCCTCCCTTCCCCAATGGCAGCTGATCATTAATCAATCTACTACATGAGAATGAGAATATTTCACTAAGCTCAGAGTGGACCATGCTCCTAGAAATATCAAAAATTAAAAAGTTAAAGTGGATATCAAAACAAGTTCCAAAAGAAGCACTCAAACAATTGTACAATGAGGAAGGTATGAGATTATACAGGACTTTAAGAAAATATTTCATGGAAAATGAAAACATTTCTAAGGAAAATCGAGTGTTGCAATAAAATTGTTAAATCAAAGACAGTAATTACAAATAAAAATATAAATACCTAGTCAGATCTTCCTTATTCCTGAGAATGTACTTAAGATTATTAAGTCCACATATCTTCTACACGTGTATGTTCTTGGCCTTCCTTGTGGATTCCAAGGGAGTAAGAGAAGAAAACGCAGAACAAAGAATCTAGTCAACCCTTTCAAGAAGGCAGATGCACCAAGCTCTGTGAGTCAAGCAAAGCAGGAGAGTAATGCTTCCTTCCTTCCTTCCTTTCTGCATACTGGAAGAGGATGACTTTTCAAAGGTTATACGGCATTTTAAAAAGTACATGGACATGATATGAAATTATAAGTACTGGCATCGCCACAGTTTCTTTAAGACCAGAAGACTCTTTATTTTAAGAACAGCTCACTGCGCGTATCAAGGATTAGCTACCATATATTCCACAAAACTGCATTATCAGCTTGAACTGCAAAATTAATCTATAATTCATTAATATATTTATTAAGCAAAGTGTTCAGTAAATTATTACAAATATCAGAATAGGAACAGAATATGACCTTAATTTAGGAAGACATTTTTATATAAAGCTTTTGACAAGTTAGCATGATACACAAGAGAGAGAAGGAAATAGCCTGGCACTCATGCCAACTTATCTTTTTTATTTTTACAAGATCTAACTTCGAAAACATCAGCTGTGCCAGATCTTTCCTTTTCCATAACCTGTGTATCTGTCCACACCAACTGAATTACAGGCCACGAAGTTGTCTCATGTACCACATCAAACAGGTCAGCTTAACAGTTCAAACCATGATTTAAAATACCAACTATGTATTCTTTCCCCAGAACACAGAAGTTTCAACCTACTTGTCAAAGTAATTTTAAAATTATCAAGACATTTATAAACAAACTGAAGACAAGGTATTTAATACACTTGTTTCTACAATGATGGTTTTGAAAGCCATAATTTTGTTTAGCTAGTAAATCTGCTCTGAACTGCACAATCTATACTAGATTCAGTGAAACCTGTGTTGTTTTTAATTTTTTTTAATAAATATTCCCCTTAAGAAGTTTCATACTTTTAATAATAAATGCCACATTGTACCCAAAGGGTATCCATGGTACAAGCATTCCTCCATCATTATGAAAAAAAGTACATCAAAAGTCTTAAGTGACAAGTGACACACATAAAATTATGCATGAAATGTATGAAAATATACAGTCTGAGATTTTTTAATTTTTTTTTTAAGAAACAGCAAGCTAGTCAGTCAGGAGATAGATGTCAACAAAACTACATGGTTCCACAAGGCTAAAGCTGGCTCGCAGCATAAATCAAGTCAGTCATAAAAGATTGAAAAATGTGTTTTAAAATTCCAGTGATCTGTTTTCTAGCCTCTGCTTTTCTTTAAAATAACCTGCAAAGAAAAAAAAAAAAAAAGTATATTTATCAGTACAATTCAGGCAGCAGACAGAAATTCAAAACACTAGGCTACTGAGACCAAAGGTTCATCTAGCCAATCTGTTTCCAAGAGCTGTGTTGCAAAGAGTAATACTCAAGGCAAAATATTAGAAATAAAGCAAAATAAAGATTTCAAATTTGAGGGGTTTTTTTAAGCAAGAACATTCATAAGCAAGAATTCTGTAAAACAAAAGGCTTATTTTGAAAATTAATGCTGAGAAACGGCAATAGTACTCTCAAGCCATCAATAGATTCCTTGAAGTTCTTACCCTGTTAGGCTTAGACAAAAAGAAAAAGTAAGGTTTGCAATAATACAGCTCTTATGCTCAATTTTTGTTTGCAATGCCTGACTTCTTTCTGTATCAAGAGCACACAGACCTTTGGAAGGACATTTTTTGGTTTGGAGTTTAAATTGAAAAATGAACTTCAAAGCCCAAGTGGGACTATTTAAGTGTTAAAATTATTAAAATACAGGCAGTTTTTCCTTTCTTCCCACCTTAAAAAAATAAATGGAGCACAAAAACGTTCAAATAGTGTTAAGATTGCAGTTAAAAAGAAACCATACACGTCTAAGACTCCAACTGCAACATTCACTTGGCTACCCTACATATCCTGTATATGTTTCTGTCACTATAGTAATAGAAAAGTACAAAACTAAACCTTTCAGCAGAAGGGAAAAAAATAGTGAAGATAAACAGAAGCCACAGGACCAAAATATCAGGTAACATCAAGTTTTGTCCTCCCAATTTGCTCAGCAGGAGAAGGAGGTTAAAGAGATAAAATAGAGACTGAATTCCTTCATAACAAGGTAAAGCAGACATATCCTAGGGAGTGAAATGAGCTACAGAATAAAAAAGGGATTTCAGTCATATTTTGACACTAATTCTTTCTAGGGACACAATGCTGCATAACACCTTCCCTTTTCCCTTCTTTTGCATGTGTACAAAACCCACGATGCTTTACAATGCAGCAAATTCCTATTCATACAGCAATTTTTGTTATGCTGAACTACCCATATAACAATCCAGAGCCTAATCCTCCCTTAGTTCTTTCCTTGCCAAATACATCACACAAACTATCTGTTTGCTCCAGAAACATCCACACAATGCTGCTAGAATCCACTATGAACTTATTTCAGACTAAGCAGGTAAGAACTGAAGATGTAAGAAAGGTATTTGAATCTCTCTGAACTATTTCTCACCTGTTCCATAAAGCTTCACTTATATCACTGAAGTTAAAACAGCAAGCTTCCTTGATGTAGTATCGGCTGAAATAAGAATCCTCCAACTTTGGACTGCCTTTCAGGCTATGAAGGCTTGCTGGTAGACCATTTTGTAGACTTAGCCATATATTGAAATTATGACTTTAAACAAGGAATAATCAAAAAAAATCGGGTTATATTTAATAGGGCAAGGAGAGTTAATTTGTTATCTTGGTGACAGTAAATTATGCCAATGACGGACAAAGAATACTAAGTGTCTATAGATTTTGGATTAAAATCAAAAATCAACTTTAACACAGAAAACATTTGTATACGCTGTCATAATACATTATACAAAAATGAAAAATATTAGTAAGTGTGTTAATACCTTTGCTGCAGATATGGTGTGCTCAGGTTTTATTATTTTACTTCTGTTCTCAAAAGCATTTGTCCTGGCTTCTTCTGCTAGCCGATGGAGAAACAATAAGAAAGTCAAATGAACCTTTAAAATAGAGAAGAAAAAATAATTTATTCAAGCTGTTTAAATACAGTTTGCTTTTTTAAAGATTCATTGTTTGTAACAGAAAATTTGCGTATTATACTGCTTCCAAATTTCTGAAAGGTATTCTCCGAAAAAAAAAAAATTATCACTCAGTTCAAGCCTCAATAAATTTCCAAGACATTCCCTTCATGCAAGACTCTTGTAAACAGAGTTTAAATTTAGTGTACTTAAATCATAAAAGTGCTTTGGGAATGATCACGCAAACCACAATTGATCTAAGAGGAATCAATCTGATTTTTGTTAGCAGTTTTTAATAATAAAATGTAAACACAAATATCAGAGAATAAGGAGACTTTTTGCTTATAGTAAATATAGTTAGCTTTCAGTGACTACAACGGCCACACTTTTATGAAGAGCAAATTCATTCCTGCCTTATCACCAAATGGACTACAGACAAGTTCAAGGACTTCTGCCCCTTTCCAGTGTAAAGCGACATTGACATTAATTTCTCCAGAACTTGGAATTCTCCGGTGTCAGGAGGTTGCATCCATTTTTTCCCAGCTCATCACTGAGCTTTTTTACATTAAAATAACTGGTTGGGCAGTATTCCTTTCGGTATGGAATGCTGTTCTGCTAATACAGAAGCAGGGAAAAATTGCAGCAGGCAAGGAAGGAACTGCTCTAGCCTGGACTTAAACTGCCAGCCAGAAGCACATTTGTGTAGTAATTAATCAGGGACCTCTAAGACAAACCCCTAGCAATACACAGGCATTATGTGAACTATTTAAATAATCCAACCTGAAAAATGGATAATTGCACCTTTTGTAAATTAAACTTTCAAACAACATTACCTCTGCTACACAAAGTGTACAAATAGACTTTATCAATCAAGAGCTTGGAAAAATATTACCGAAATAGATGAAAATTTTATTTGTATGAATAAGGTGTGATGCATTTATTCTGCCGTACCTTATCTGTAAAGCCTGGAAAAATGTAATATGGAAAGTTACAAATTAAGAGTTTAAAAGAAATATTTTGGCAGTGGGTTTGCAGCACAAAGAATCTGTTACATCTTCCTGTCACAAGAACTCTGTTCATCTGACAAGCAGTTTAGGTAGTTTTTTAAATATCCTGAACTAAATGAAGCAAGAGATAAATTTACATAGTATTTGACATCATTTGGAAGCATCTACTACACAAAAAGCAGATGTGCTTGCAGATTTATTTCACAAAATATAAAAGCCGCTTTAGAATCAGTCTTTAATTATTCACGCAGAAATCATCTCCAGCAGAATCAAGCAGTGGCACTAAAATAATCTTCAACATTAGAATTCTCATTATTAAACTTATCAATATGGAGATTAGATTTCTGGAAACAACCTGAAGGAGAAGTGAGAGATGGAACAAAAGCTTCCATACTTGAGATATCTAAAGGCAAAAGTGTTAACTTTAAAATTGCCTTTTAAAACTGAATCTTCTCTCAGAATCACTGCACCTTTATTTTCCTATTTTCAAAGTGAACTGCTGCATGCAGAGAAGCTTCCCCTGTACTCCAACAGATTTAAACAGTCACATAACTAAAATCAGAACATTCCACAACAGAATTAACACAGGTTAAGAAATACTCCAGGTTATTCAATGCAATTGAGAAAGGCTAGTGAAAGGCAGAATGACTGAATACCATGACTAGGACAGTTACTGGCAACTAACTAAGCAATATCATATTTGTTTAAGGACATTGCTTTATTGCATATTAAATTTTTGTCCTTCTGCAAAACATTTTAAAACTCTTTTCAACTAACTAGTCATGAAAATCACCTTACAAAACTGAATGTTTATTTTCCAGAAAAGAAAGGATGCAAAATTTTAAGAACGTCTGTAAAAAATTCACAGCTCTGTTTACACAGCACTTCCGCACACCTGTTCAACAGAACTGAGGAATAGCAGGGACAACCACTGTAATTTTGTTTTACTGCTGTAACTTCAAAACAATTCTTAAGACTGATATTTTGCCTTCAATGTGCACTTATTAATTATTCTATAGTGATAACAAACTAAAAAGAGATCATTCAGAGCAATACTTTAAGCTTTTCCTGCAATGGAAACACACATGTGCTGTTCTAGCATAAAAGAAGCAGCTGAGATCCTGCTTTTCTTCTACAATTGCAAGCTAGAACAATGCCTGCATATTTTCTTCTCTGATCATTGGGGAAATAGCTGAACTTCAGTACTAAAAACATTACCTCTTATTTTCAAAGAGCCTTGAAAAAACCTAAAACATTATTTGCATCTCTCTACCTGAAGATATTATCATACTCCTTAAAGAAAACCAAAACAAAACAAAAACAAACATCTTCCTGAGAAAGGCTAATGAAATGTGATAGCTACACTGCGCAAAGAGGTAGACGTTAACATTTAGGAAACAGGTTCTGACAAAGCTTCAGATTTTGAAGAGATTTGATTAGAAGTGAAGAACAAACCTCATCCAAGTATTTAACAAAATTATCTGAATTCATATGCTTTTCAAACTTGTTACGATCATGTAAGAAGGCATTGGTTTATCAAGCAAATAATCACTGAAAATTGGGGAAAAAATAAAGCAATCTTATTTTCTCCTAAGGCAGACATACCACTTCACTGAAATGGGCATATACTGCAATAGATTCAGACATAAAGCATGGATCACTCTGGAAGATAGCCCAGAAATTGAACTAGCACGGTTCTCATACTTCCCTTGAGAAGAAATAAGCTCTCTGACCAAAATGTATATGGCTCCATCTTGTTAAGACAGCTACTATATAAATTTCTCATGTATGCCATCTAATCACAGGGTTTGCAGAGAATAACACAGGCACCAGCAAAGATGCTCTCAAAATTAGTTACTTGTCTTACTATGTAACAAACTCACCAATCCTTTTTTTTTTCCTCTTTTTTTCTTTTTCCTCAAAGAGGCATAATTTCAGCTGTGTTGATTATTTAGCCATGGAAATAAAGACCTAAAGAGCTGTTAGACACAAGCCTAGTTGAAGAACATAATGGACAACCACCTCACCTGGACATTCTTGTTTAAAGGTAAAATAAAAAGCCAAGCCTTGTAACATAAAAGGCTGTGTAATTTGACATCACCAGAAGAGGTAATCTAAGTTTACATCACATTATTAAAATTTATTCTGATCTTATCCTTTGTGTTGCAATCAACATTTGCATAGCCATATTTTAAGCTGGATCTGACTGCTGCTGTTTATAAGTTTCAGTGAATTCAATTCACTGTCTTTGCAGCCCAGAGAACTTTAGTGCCAGGACCAGGAAGAGATGGGAACCAAAGGCCAAGATTTGGAGGGATGTCCCACTTACCCATTTTCAGACAGCCACACTAATTTGAAGCCAAATTTTCATTACCCTAGAAACACAGACCAACTCTTACCAAGGATTTTAAAAAAAAGTGTGATTGTGTGCATTTAATTAGTTGACTACTGCATTCCACTGAGTAAGCTTTGAGTAGGTCTGAGCATGAGTAGCAAGGGGCCAGGTCCTTAGTCCATAAAAAAAAACAAAGGCCGGAAAAACATCAGGAAAAGATCATATTTTTATTAGCTCCACTCCGTTAGAAAAATATTTAATGTCTGCATTCAAATCTAAATACTCTCAAGTAATTGCCATTTTCATTCATTTTAATCTCATATTACTTATTTTAATTTTATATGTTTACATTTAGCTTCATATCCAAACACCAACCTTCAAGATGCTGCAAGACACAACTTTTACACACACACGAAATGTGTGCTTACAATTCAAGTCAAGGACCATACTAGTGTTAATGCTTTAATGCTCTGAGAGCCACATGCATTTGTAAACAAGGGGATATCACAGTCCAGCAAGTTAAGTCGACTAAGTTCTTTCAAAGAGTACCTTTTTTCTATGCACTTTTTTTTCAATACGGCAACTAGCACAGGCTCTCTTGAGGTCAGGTTTCCTTCCTGTAGTCAAATAATTTCTTGGTGAGACAAACCCTACCTGTGCTGCAAACCCCTTAGAGCAGGTCGGAAGCAATTCAGATTTATTGGCCTGCTTTTGCAAACTTGGCTCTTTCATTGGCAGGCGTTTTTAAACCATGATCAGGACCCCAACACCTTACTGGATATCTAACGAGACTTGTCATCTCACAGTTTAGGGCAGGGTCTACTTAGATGGCCTTCTAAAAACATATGAGCACTCAAGATGCCATAACAGCTTAGCAACTCATTGATCACAAGTCAACTGACTACCTGTACCCCCCAACTGATCTACACAAACACCTGCATCCAGCAGCCAGATAATCCAAATCGCTGCTTCTCGGTGTGTCTACACCAAACTCTGTGAACACCAGTGCGTACATGGAGTGTCACAAAAGCCATGCATCAGCCCGTCCCTTGAATCGCCAAGATCGCTGTCAAATACCTACAATACAGCAGCCACCAGCAAAGCGGAGCGGCAGTCTTTGCTCATCCGTATTTTCTCAGGCCTATCGTCTGTGCCTCCAAGCTTTGCCTCTCCCCTGCCCGCGGGTCCCTGCGGAAGCACCATTAGTAGTAAGTGGACATCCCGCCTCACACGAAGTGCTCCAGGGCGCACAGGCCGGAACATTTAGGGAGTAAGCGTCCCCCGGGCCACCAGCGCAGCTGCGGCGGCCGCCATGGCCAAGCCGGAGCGCTGCGGACTCGCCGGGGCAGGGGCAGGGGCAGCCGCAGCCTCGCCTCTCCCCCGCCCTCTCCTTCCTCACCAGTAGGTCGGAGTTCGCCGCCAGGCGTAACTGCGGCTTATGCTTCTTTATAATTTTCCGCAAAGTGTTGCGGGGCGCCATACTCTTCATCCTCCTCCTCCCGCCGCTCCCGCACCGCCCTCGCTCCCTCCGCCGTTCGAATCCGCCGCCCTCGCACAGCCGCGCGCGCCCGCCGTGACGCAACTTCCCAACGGCCGCGCGCGGCACCGCCCCCGCGCCCCGCCCGGCCCGTGCCGTGCCGTGCCTCGCGCCGCTGCCGCTCCTGCTCCCGCTCCCGGCGCTTTCCCGGGATCCGCGCTGGCGCTTCCCGAGCCGCCCGGAGGCTGCGGGGAGAGCGTCGCACCGGCACCCCCCCGAGCCCGGCCCGGCCCCACCGCCCAGGTGGCGCACGAGCGGGGAAAGGCGCTCCCCGAGCAGGTGCTCGAGGGACGGGCGGGTCCCGGTGGACACCGCCACGGCCGTTGCCCTCGCGTGCCCCTTCGGGTCGGCTTCCCTTGTGAGCGAACCGAGAGCTGGCTTTAGGCCGGGCTGTCGCGAGTTACCCACACTTCCATCCAGGCCTTTTTGGTGACGCGGACGGGAAGCGGAGCGGGCCGTTCCCCGGCTGCCGTTCTCGAGCCCTCGAGGGGCCGCTGCCACATGAGGGAATTCCCCGAAGCGCAGGGAGCGCCGCCCGGGTCAGAGGCACGGCGCGGCGCTGCCCCGGCAAGCCTCGGGCGGTGGGTTTGAAGTTGGCGGCCGTCGCCCAAGTGTGCTGCTGTTTCCTTGCCGCAGAAGCCGCGGGAGTTGTTGAGCACGCTTTTTCCCCGCTTAGACTGTGTGACCCTCCTGGGAGATGGGGCAGGACTGCAGGACCGGGACCCTAATTTTAGCACCATTATCTTACACGGAAATGAGCCTAGAGTGATAGCTGTGTTCTGCATTTAAATCTGGACAAAATCCTGCTTTAGTACACGTATGGTGTTGATTTATTTGTACACAGAAAGCGGTTCTGAAATCGGCCACCACTTTTACATGTTATCCTTCCTCCAGCATCTGTCCCTGCACTCCTGCTGTAGCTGACGGATGCTGCTGACTGAAATACGGGTTTCCCCACAGAGGGGCCCCTGTAGCTTGGCATTCTCAGTGTATTTGGACGGTGTGTACTTAGTTGGAGAAGGGGTCAGGATTTCATACTGAGGTATGGGGTTTTTCAGCATATTTATTAGGGGTTTTTTTGTTTTCTTTGGCCTATGGGATGCTTGCAAATTTAAATGTTGATAAGATAAATATATCGTCTTAATATGTTCAAAATACCAGCACCCAGATATGAATCAGTTTTGTTGAAGTATGTTCTTAAGTCTGTATGATTTAGTATTTTAGTTAATTTTACAATATGCACAAAATGTAGTCCAGATAGAAGTATGATATCTGACAGCAGGAGAGAATATAAGATTTGCCAGTTCTTCATACTTTTTCAGATATTCAAAAACGATGCTTTTTCTTTCAGTTCTGACTGTCACTTGCCATTAATCGTCAACAGCAATGTTGATCTTAAAGTCAGGGTCTTAACATTTTTTTCTGTGAAAGAATAAGCGCACTACCACGCAGAACTTTTTTGTGCAGCACAGTTTAATAATAGTCATAGTTAATGGCTCAGCAGCACTGCTGCAAGTAAACATTTGGGGTTTTTTTGGTTAACTGAATGGCTCTGACTCAGGAGCTAGATACGGTCATATACTGTAATGCTCATAATATACACACAGAAACTTGCATCGGGATCAACAGTAACTCAGCATGTCAACAGATGCAAATCCACAGCTGGGATAGATCAGCAGTTCCACTGGACCTTACGTGGGCTGAGAACTGGGCCTTAGTATCTCACACTGTTGGTGGGAGACTGGTATGGGCAAGCATTTTACAAACCATAAAATTTGCAGAGGTTCCTCTACTGTAGGTCTAAAACTGTTAAAATACACCCCACAAATTTGGGACCGTGCAGTGACCTGCACAAAACAGCAGATACTGAGACTCAACACTAGTAACTGTATCTTTTAGTCATGTGCTTACTATGTAGACAGTGACTGAATAATGAAATCTACTATTAAGTGTAATGCTGTTAGAGTTTTGTTGGTTCTGATGGTTTTATATTTCTAGTGGACTAGGGGGTTTTGGGTGTTGATTTTAGCCACAGAAAATAGTAATTTAAAGTGCTGCCTCAAATCTACACATTTACCAGATTTCCTAACTTCTTAGGCTTTGAAAAAAATTACAGTAGTTACTTCAAGCAATTGATAACAGAAGTCAAGTGTACATGTAATGAATTAAATGTATGTAAATTATAGGTTATGATTTACTGAACAAACGTGAAATTCAGTATTTCAGATTTCTTCTTGAATTTACATTTTAGGCTGCTTATCAATAAATATTTCTGCAATTATGATTTTAGTAGCTTAATTTTAATACACAAATATTGTATAAAAACAAAAAAAATGTAGCTCTTTGCATTATGCATTGCAATGGACAAAAATAATTGTATAAATTAACTAAATAAATTATTTTAAAAAATCATAACTGTTTCAATTATTTGGTCTCTATTAACACAGGAATTAATGCTTAGATTACAGTGAATCAGAAAACTGCAGTCTCATTATATTTTTGATTTTGAACATGACTGTTTTCTGTCTTTCTGATAGAATTCATAATGTTCAGTTATAATATTATGAAATATTTAAATAAGTAAAAGAATAATGAAAAATGTATTTTAAATTAATTCTTTGAAAGTATTATTGAAATTGCTATTTTTTTCGTGCTCATGCAGCTTTATAAAAAAGGCAATTCCATGCCTTATAGGCAGATTTTCATATTTTACCTGTTCAAAAGCTGCATGGGTTTTGAATCCATTTTTTACAAGTGGTTGCCTTGTTTTCAAATAATGTTTCAAGAATGTCATATTTTTCCACTTTTTAGCAATTGCAGTTTTTAAACACACATTAGTTCATTTTGTGAACTTCAGCTGCAGCACAACATCTTCCCAGTTTTCCAGCAATTCTGAGCTGTGCTTTAGAACTAAAGGCATCATCTGGGACATGATTAGAGCAAGGACATTTCAGCAATTAAAACAGTACCATCCAGGTCTGACTTCTTCAGGAAAACAGTCATTTCATGTTCCTTTTTATTTGCTTTATTTTTTTTTAACACAGGCAATTTCAGTGACATTATTTTGTCACTTTGTTTCCAGATCATGTGGGTTTCTTGCAAACACTTCCATACATTTCAGTGGCTAAAAAAGAGGCCAAGTTTGGGGCCATCACTGCTGAACTGCAAACCAGTAAACATTTAGTTCTCTCTTTCTGTAAGGAAAAAGGTGAACTTAAAGACTAATTTTATCCACTGCTCTGGTGCACTGTAAGTTGAAATAAGGGTAATATTTGGAAATGAAATTAAAAAGCCATGTTTCCTTTCTGTCCCGAAACTTTTGTAAGCACATCCTAACTTGTTAAATTTGTTCTCCCAGTCTGTACTTCATAACTGTTAATTTAACTGTTTTGTTTCTGGAGTTTGACATTATCTTCAGTCAAATTTTTCATCAGCTCTTCATCAAATCATAACTTTAAAGTCAATCTTCTCTCCAAAAATGCTGAAGAATTCCATTTAAAGAGTGTTATATGTTGAAATTAATAATAACATTTTATAAATTCTTGCTAAGCCAGAGGTCCGTCGGTTTCTTCTCTAGTCAGGTAGAGACTGTTAAATACTTTCTGGTGGTAATCCAGTTTCAGTGGTTGATTAAAGACTTTGAAACATATCCTGGATATGGATGTCAAAGCCTAAAATCTTTTGATGTTTTTTTTCGGTGATGAAAAGATATCTCTAAAACAGAACATAACAATTCAGCAAATGTAAACTCTTCTATAGTGTAGTTGATAGGCTTGATCATAGTGATTGGGGTATACAGACTGACTCTCCTGTTACATTTGTATATTCTTTCTGTTGGATAATTCAGGTGTGGTTGAATACTTTTGTAGAGAAACAGGAAAAGAGATAATACAAAGGAGCAAATTGTATGTTTTCTTCTCCTCTGTGGAACTTAAGAAAACCTTTTGCTTGAAAAAGAAGGGAAAAATGGCAATTTTAACAAGAAACTTTTGCCTTGTGGTTGTCACTATTGATGTAATGACAATAATTTAATTGCAGTAATAAATACTAGTCAAAACTCTGTTTGGAATTCACCTTTTATTTTCATGAAGAAAGGACAGAATTCTCTCGAATCAATTATTTTCATTACTTTCCATTTTTTAAAATTTAGTTCTATTTCTATCTGTGTTTCAGACCGAGAACACTAAAAAACAGGAAGGGCAAAACATTGTAAATTTGAAATTATGACTATTTGCTGATTTTAAGGTTTACAATTTTAGCTTCAGTTTAATTTTTTCAGGACGTTCTGTGTATCAGCCCTCTGTATGTCAGGCTCTAAGAACCTGTCTGAAGTCAGTTGACTTCCACAGGCCAGACACCATCTGTCTGTTGTGACTGCTTTGACTGCATTCATAAAATGGATGTCATTCATGCTGAAGCATGTAAATCACAGCTCAGCAGTCACTCTTACCTTCAGAGAGACTCCTCGTGCGTTTCACATGCCATCAGCTAAACGTGTATCAGTTTCAATGCTTTTGAAGCAATTTGATGCAGGATCACATTGATAGAACTGTCCATCACTTTATTAAATTATGTAAGAGGAAAATGTTTATTTTAGGTGTTTTCAATGAAAACCATGAAGCTTAATAAATTGCACCCAGAAAAAACTACTTCAAATACCCACTTCATCTGTGTTCATGTAACTTTTTTCATTATTTTTTTAGATTTGTACTTTATTTGTGTTTTGCTCCTGGATCTAATACACCCACTTAATGCCAGTCCTATTTCTTCCCCGAAATTCCAGAAGGAACAGAGTGTTATTATTCTCTTCAGATGTCATGCTTGCAACAACTACATAAAAACTAGAACAATCTTCCAGCACCTGTGCTCTGATCAGCTAATCCAGACCTGCCAAAAAGACACCCTTCTATTAGAAACTTTTGCAGACCTAGACAGTATTCTGAAAAATGCCTGTTGTTTGCCTTAAAAATACATATTTTATGCAAATGTGTTACAAACAGAGAAGGAAAGA